TTTTTTTTTTTTTTGGTGGGGGTGGGGGGGCTTTTAGGATATCGTCACAAAAGAAAAGAGATATTTGAACTTTGAAGCATTGCTGTCTGAATGTTGAGCTACATGTAAAACTGCGATACGATAATGTATTATCTTGACTGTAATTTTCAAAAGTAATCTTCTTTGACATACTACCTAACTTATTCGTGCTAAAAATGCTGTAGGCTGGTGAAGATACTGATCACTCATCGCTTGCAAAAGTTGAACTGAAGAAGTTGTTTGCTAAAAAAAGGGTATGCATGCTCTACAAATATTACAATATCTTTCATAAAGACATTTCACTTGGTGATAGGGGCCATATTTTCTCTTTAAATCTTTTTTTTTTTTTTCCCTTTTTTGCTCTGCCTATTTTGATCATTGATAAAGATGTTAAAACACTTTCTTGGCATTTTGAACGCCAAGTCCTTTACAATCCACAAGTAGTAATATATAGGAGTAACATAAGATTCCAAGCACCGTTTGTAGATATTAATGGGTCTAAAAGCTTATCATGTAAATTCCTTAGCATACAATTGTTCTGTCCATTTCCACTTAGAGCATGTACAGTATGCTATACTGGAAAATCAATGGACAATATCTTTTTCGTCAGTAATGTCAAATATGTACACTCCACTGAAGGCCACAATGCAAAAGGATTAGAAACTACTGTTACAGTTCATGTTTGGAAATAACAACAGAAATTTCACGCGGACCTATATAGAATCTGTTTCTATAATTCAGATAAAGATGCTCAAGGAAACAAGCTTATCAACAAACCAAGACAAGTCTTGGAAGAAGAGGACGACTTGGAAAGTCGAAGGTGAAACCAGCAGTGAGCCAAATCCAATTAGAGGTGATCCCATAGACATGTCAAGTCTCATCGTTGAGCTTGGTCCAATGGAGATCCGGACTTTCCTCTTGAAATTTTAAAAGGGCTGACCGTCTAACCAATGGAGTCTAATAATCAGTATGATTTACAGCTCTCTTTAGGCCTTTGAAGAGTATAATTCGCTCAACGGACAATTCTGTTTATGCTGCATCAAGATTTGTGGATTAATAAGATGCCCAAAATACAATGAGGAAATATTTATGTTGCCAAGTATAGTTGGTCGTACTCACCAATTTTATGACATTCTGTATTTCTTGGCTTTTGATACATACTACCCATTATAGAATACGAGCATGAGATGAAAATATTAATGAATAAGCGTGAAAGATTACCATTTATTACAAAAATTATGAAATTATCTGTTTTGTCTGCTTGCTTCTTTAAAGGAGAGGCAACCAAAATTTATATATGATGTTTTTCTTTTCATTTTTTTTTCTTGGGTGAAAATTGTTGGCCTGAAGTCAACAAATTCTTTGCAACCTACTCAAATCACCTTTCTATAGCCTCTTTCTTGTCAATGGAGCACCTTAAGGGTTACTTTAAGGTGAGAATTGTCACCAAGTAAAGGCTAGAGGATGAAGGGCAAGAAGTTGGTTAGGGTTTCTATTTTCACCTTTTTTCTTCATGATTTTTTAGGGTATCTATGAATATATCAAGCCTAGGAGCTTTTGTCTTTTTACCATTCTTTAATACGAGTCACCTTGAAATTAGAGGATGTCATCTGTGACACGTGGCATTGTTTGGGCGATTATTTTCGTTAGATGACCTTTTTACAATGTGCTATCCTTCTATGGTTAAGAGAATAATTAGAATTCGATTGCATCATCCTGTACCCCCGAAGCAGTGACGGATCCAAGATATGAAGTCAGCTATGGTGGTCACTGATGGTCGCAAATAAGATTGTTTATTAATATTTAATTAAAAAATGTTAAAAAAAAATTCAATCAATATATAAATACACTGAAACGTGAAAAGGTCATATATATTTGAAAATATAATCCAATACAATATAAAATAATAAGGAAAAAAAATGTATTTTTCAATCATGCATGTACAATCAAGTTTTAATTTTTTTACGAATTCAAACGAAACAATTTATACGTAAAGCATGATTAAATAGTAAAGACAAGCTCCCAAGTTTAGGTGAAGGTTATGCAAAATTTTGAAAATACCACAAGAAAAAGTATTTTTCGAACTTTTAAAAGAATAACAAACACTTAGATTGTCCAAATTTGAATTTTATCAAATAAATTAATAAAACCTAACAATAAAAGTATATATATCATAGAATAATAATTTGAGTCGATAAATTTTTTAAAGAAATTATTTCGAAAACGAAAACTAATAATATGTAATTGTTTAGTTATTATTTATTATATTGAAAAATTAAACAAAAAAGTAGAAAAGCAAAGAATTGAACCCCATACTTTTATTGCACAAAATGACTCATTTACCACATGAACTACCCTTCCTTTTGTTGAACAAATGGTACAATTATTAATTAATATTTAGTTATTATTTATCGTGTTTAAAAATTGAAAGAGAAAATTTTATTGTAAGGATTTGAACCCAGGCATTTCATATGGAAAGGCACCTTCACTCCCAAACGATCTACATAGCATTTCAATGAAAATCATACAATAATATATATATATAGCGGCCGCGCCGGCTCGTTGAGTGCTGGATCCGCCCCTGCCCTGAAGTGTGGGTGTTTGGATTTTCATGTTCCCTTCTATAGAGATAAAGGTTGTTGAAGAGTACGTTGACGAAATCTACCATTAGATGATAATCATTTAGTCCAAATTTTGGATATACGATGCTCGAGTGCTCAAGAGCTATTGATAGATTTAAGATGTGTGCGTGAAACTTGTATGTCTCCTTCATTAGTTTTCGCCTGCTTATGTTGCTGAATTTGGCGAGCTACTAGCTGAGTGGCTTCTTGTACATCAAGCAATCTAAGATGTGTGCGTGAATTTTCTTTCTTTTTTTTGTGTTCTTTGTTTCTTCGTCTAAAGGGTAAATTTAATCTCAGAGCCAAACGGTTCAAGTTGTTGCCTTGTAAACAAAGTATACTATGAATACCTTTTTCACCTAGTATAAACCAACATTAAACAAAAATAGTCCCCGACAATGGACAATGAACTTGTTGCATGATTTTTTTACTAATATTATGAACATGTAATAACGAGGACATAATAGTCCGGGTTATCATTTCCATGATGACTATCTATCTAAATATTGGTTATTATATTCCTGACTCATAACTGTATAAAAATAATTAAGGTTGATTTTAATAGTTATCCTAAATATTTTAAATCTCAAAAAAAAAATTAAATCGTGTGCAAGTAACAAGTAGGGTATTAATACGTGGGTGAAAATGTTAGGACTCGTGATTTCACGTAGTTATTACGTTTGCCTCTCAAGTTTGTTCTTAAAGTTGTATTTGGTAGAATTCACGAATTTAATCAATTTAGCTCTCTGGTTCAAATCTATCCTATCTAACGAGGTCAACTCATTATATATCTACACGAATCAGAATATGCTCAACTAAACCCATTAAATCACATAGGAATTCAATTCATGAACTGCAACACTATAAATTCTATCTTTTATTCAATTGTTGGATTTTACTACGTGGTCTTAATTTATAATTTACCTCTCGAGTCGTTACAAATTAATGAAATAGTGGCCAATTATTTCAAATGCAATAAAAATTACAAGTAAAATCAACATAAGGAAGAATTAAAATCAAGAATATTGGGAATTAAAATTAAAGGCTCATAACTACGTTATGTCGTTTGTCCTATGATCATATTAGTTACACAAGATTTTGAAAGAAAAAAAAAATCTAATTGAGTACGTCATCGAATTTTCAATGTTTAGTGACGAAAATTGGATGATCTTGCAAACCATGAATTCTTTCTCCAAGCCAAGAATTTGAAATTCTAATTTCTTGAATATTTTATCGATTTTTCTCTCTTTTGCTCTGATTTTCTCTATATTTTATAGTATCACCATTTTTATGACCTAAGCAATCTCTATTTATAAGGGTTGAAGAATTTTGGGAGTTTTGCTTCGAAAAGGAGTCAAAAAGAAACAAGAAAAACTAATTTAAAACGAAAAAAATAGCAAAAACAAACCCCTAAAATCGGGTTGGACCGTGGCTAGTGCCTCTCTCTGGACCATGATCAACGTCGAATTTTTTAGTTTTTTTCCAACCTAGTTCAAGTTTGTCCCCAATTCAATTTTTTCGTGCACTTGGTCCTTTCAAGTTTTTCGTCAACTTCTGGTTCTTTTTCATTCTAGATTTCAATTTGGTCCGCGAAACTTCCAAAATCTGTCGAGTTGGTCCCCAAACTTCATTATCACTCGAAATTGGTCTGTCTCAAGTTTCAAAAGTGTGTTTAGTCCCCTAATTGGTTCATTAAACTTCATATATTTAGCTATGACATTTTATTGTCTGTGGCTTGTATTATATTCTGATTGTTGTTTATTATTTTTGATTATTTTAAATAAATTGTTGAAGCGAGTAAATGATGACGGTGCTATAATAGAGGTGACAACTTGCTTGGGATATCCCGGTGTACCTAATGATCTTAACTACAACTACATATAAAAAAATGTTCCAAATATTATCTTAAGGTGCCTAAAACATAGATCTTTAAACTTGTTTTAACATAAACTTAACGTGTGTATACGCACAACAAGAAGACGACCAACCAAGAAGAAAGAGAAAACTCATAAAGTAAATATATCACCCTGTAAAATATAAATAGCGCTCACAAGCAGACGACGAGTTTAAATTTTTATTGAGAAATTGTTAAAATGTCAACCAAAATTTCCTTGTCTACTGATGGTCATCAAAACAAAATATCTAATCAAAATTCATTGTGGAAAAGATAAAATTTCTCCATCAATAGAAAACTGATGTTGGGTTTTGATACCCAAAAAATCTGGGTGATGTTAAAACGATGTTGGATAATTTTTATCGACATCTTAGTGATGGCTCGACCAGGAAACAAGTTAGGGAACTAGAAACAATTTAATTAAGTTAATATTGCTCATAGTCCAACACTTTGAAGATGGTCCAAGTTGTGGTTAGTGTTTGGCTTTGGATTGGTGGCCCAATTGGACTCGACCGAAAGAGAGGCAGCCTTCGTTCTTGCACTTGAGAGCTTTGCTTGGCGTTTTGGTGCCTTCATTCTTCTTCTCTCCCTTTGTGATATTACTACTACCACCACCTTGATCCTTTGTGGGTTAGAGATTTTCTCCATCAATAGAAAATTTGATGTTGGGTTTTGATACCCATAAAATCTGGGTGATCTTAAAACGATGTTGGATAATTTTTATCGACATCTTAGTGATCGTTCAACCAGAAAACAACTTAGGCCACTAGAAGAAATTTATTAAGTTAATATTGCTCATGGTCTAACACTTTGAAGATGATCCAAGTTGTGGTTAGTATTGGCTTTGGATTGGTGGCCCAAGTCTTGGCCCAATTGGACTTAACCTAACGAGAGACCGCATTCCTTCTTGCAATTGAGAGCTTTGCTTGGCGTTTTGGTGCCTTCCTTCTTCTTCTCTCTCTTTGTGATATTGTTACTACCACCACCTTGATCCTTTGTGGGTTAGACCAAGTAGGTATAGTTGTGGGTCGAGTCTCCTTGGGTGGTATCTGTTTTTTGGTTTTATTGAGCTTGATTTCAAGATTTCTTGGTATTTTTGCTAACAAATGGTAGTTTGTGTTGTTCAGAAATTTGTGAAAAAATTAGTGAAACAAGACTAGAAATGAAGGAGAAAACTGTCTAGTTCCTAAAAATCTGGCCTAAACTATTTGCTTGATTTCTAGCCAAACCGCTTACCGATGGATGAACGAAGACCACATGCATGCTTAGTGGACCAAGGTAGTGCGGGTGGCCGATGTGTAAGGTTGGGCGATAGCATGTGTGGCTATGCGTAGAGTCCAACGCACAGAAATTCCGACGAGTGCGCGAGGGCTCGTCTATCGACTACGACGGTGGTCTATTCTAGACCCTGCGTT